CCCCCCTCGGGGTACGGGCCTAACAGGCTACGGGATCCACGCCCCAGAGAGGCGGGACTAATCCACCCAGGAGGAGCAGGGTGCCCCATCCCTACTCCCCACAGTAGTAGGGATCGATCCCCCAACCTCTGCCTTCAACATGACTTTATCACTCCAGCAGGTGGCAGTGGACCTCACGCCCCTGGGGCTTATTTTATTGTTCATTAATATAATTATCAATATATTTAAATGATGTTCAATCATATTCCTTCGAACTATATCTATGACATAACTTTTCTACATAGGAACGATTGATTTTGAAATACTGTAATAGTAAGATTACATAATTTTGCCATATCTGCACACTACAAGAAAATTGTAAAATTTTAAGAAAAAATTTCAATGGAAATATTTTTCAATGGATATTACAATGCAATTATTTTCGTTGGAATTTTTCAGTGGATCCCAACGGAAATTTTAACAAAATATTTTGTTGGAATGTGTTTTCTGTTGGAATTTTCGTTGAAATTTTGACGATTCCAACGGTAGATTTTTGAACGGTTGAAATATGAGTGAAAATAGAAATTCCAACAGAAATTTATACGATAAAAAGCCGTTAAAATAATAGCGGTTGGAATTATCAAATTCCTTCTAAAATTCTAATGAAAAACTCATTCCAACAAAATATTTTCGTTGGAACTTCTGTTGGAACCATTCCAACGGAAACTATACGTACAATTGAAATATCTATTGGAATTTCCGTTGAAAATATTATTCTAGTATTTTTCGTTGGAATATGACAATGTTTTTGTAGTGGCATTTTGTGGAGGTTTCATTTTATATATATAACATTACTCACCAATAATTTTAGCACATTGATAAATAAATTCTGTATGTTAGAGTTAAAAAATAAATTTTATGTAAGAAAAGATTAGTCTATATATGTATGAGGAAAAAGCCTCTTGGCTGGGATATTGGGACCATTTATTTGGCAATAATGCAGTTATTGGAGCAGCTTTTCAAATCTAACTGCATTTTTCTTTCTTTAAGATCTCGAGATTCTCATCACTGCCTTTGTAATTCATGACTCGTGCAAAAGACAAATTATTCACTTCTTCCCCTAAAAAAATTTCTCATGCATGAAAATATGAAATTATTTTGATTTGGTTTTTTTTTTTTTTAATCTCTAATAAGTCCATTTCCATGAATGAAAATGTCATAATAATTAAAATAGCACAGCTCTAATAATGTACTATGTTATTGTTATTGCCATTGTCATTACTCATTAGAGAAATTTGTATTATTGAGACAAGTTGTCTTTTATTAGCTTTAAGCAATTCATTGAGCTTCTAATGATTCTTTAATAATTATCTTGTTTTATTAGGTTGAGCTAAGATGTAAAGCCCCTAGATATTAGATTTTCTTTTTTGAGTCATTCATTGTTTTTTTACAAGTATTAGTTATTTTGCTATTTTAGATATTAATACACATATATATATATATATATATTATATATATACCTTAGGGTTTTTGGCTTCGCATGCAATGCACGTGCCAAGGATCCGAGCTTTTTCGTGGTCGAAATAAGATCTTTGTTGTGAACTCTAACTTTTCGTAAAACTTAATTACAGCTTCAAATTGTCCTGTTGCATTTCGGCTTTATTTATATTAATGTAGGAATTAGTTTGTAATTAAGAATAATTCCTTTGAACTTAATTGTCCTAAGACTATCTTAATTAACTAGCCTCGCTCGTACAAGCTCATGAATTATTTTGGCTGAGGCCATTAATTTTATGGGCTAGGTGCCAGGTGAGCTTCATTATTTCCAACCAGAAAATTAATGGCCTATTAAAAAGTGTTTTGCTCCAATTAGACTGCAGAAAAATAATGTCAAATCTACTTCACCGTAGGTATAATTCTCATTAAAACAAATAAATAAAAAACTATGTGAATTCTACCTTTTCATCATGCAAGTCTCACCCATGATACTACGTGAATAAAATACATATTTATAATATCAAATGTCAAAATTAAATATCAAATGTCAAAATTTTGTTTATATTGTTTATTGAATTTTGTTTATACTGTATTTTAAATTATGATATTTAAAGATGGAAATAGTATATTTATTGGAAAAATATTTAGACAGCCTAACATTGATTTACTGATGCCATAGTATGCCTATATTGCTAGAAATTTTGGCAGGCCGGGCTAATAAAGAGCTAAAATTAAGTGTGATTTAATAATTCAGCCAATACAGTACTGAGGCACATTAATTTTAAATATTTTCACTAACAAAACTTCAAATTTTCAAAAATAGTGGCTATCTTTGCCAAACAAAATT